ATGCCTCTCGGTCCTAACCCCGGGCTCCGTTCGTTGCAGCTCCTCTGTGCAGTTTCCGTAGGTCACACTTGTGTCTTTTTTTGTGTGCTAATTTGTGCCCTGATTCTATACATTCTGTGGGGGCAGCGAGCTTGTCTGCTGTGTTCAAGACCGTTTCTCCAGGGCGCAGGGTAGGTGCTGGAAGAATGCTCATGAATGAGGGAATTCCAGGCAGTGCGTAATCAGACTTCTGCTTCCCCAAAAGCTCCCCAAGGTATCTGGGTCTCAGGCATTACACATTTTCCATTCTGAGAAGGAGGCTTCACGGACCCTGATAGCGCCTCCCACCCGGTGCATCTTCCTTTCCCTGGGAACCGCTCTCTGTAGGACTTCAGCCCCGCTCACCTCTGCACCCTCCCAGGGGCCTGTGTGCTGCTCACACTCACCTTCTTGTCTTTCACCCCCACTGACTTTCTAGATGCTTGAAGACAGCGCATTTGACAGCCTTCTTATGCACTGGAACACAAGTGCTTGGGAAATAGTTGCTGAATAGATCAACAGAAGCAGAGATCTCAGGGAGATTTCACAGCCCTCATTTTGGAGTTTGGAAACAGGTGGGGAGGCTGCGAGCCCGTCCTGAAGTGAAAGAGGAGAGAGCATTAGTCCTTTGTTGCTCTCACTTTTTCCCTCTGGGCCTCTCTTCTCCCTTGGCCTCTCCTGGTCTCCTTGATTGAGGTAGCGGGAGGTAGTTATAGTAGTTTACAGTGTTATAACTATAATGCTATTATAATAACCGGTTATAATAGCTAGCTGTGTGACCTTGGATTGGCTGTTTATCCTGAGTCTCAGTGTTCTCATCTGTAAGATGGCAATAATGATGATTCTCATTTTGCAGAGTTGTTGGAAAAGTAACCATGGAATGTTTGTGAGTTTCTGTCTTGCATCAGGGGCTCATTAAAAACAGGTGTATTTTCATGTTTTTTTTTTTTTTTCCTAGAGAGCCCACTGTACCCTTTTCTTGGGTTCAAGACCTGGAGCCCTCTTGATTTTCTTTTTTATTGTTGATTTGGCCCCAAAGGCCCCTCTGTACTTCCTCCAGGGCATTTGTATTTCATCCTTAAAAGACTTTTGCTGAGGACCCAGCCTGATGTCATGGAGCTCACAGTCTCGCAGGACAACAGCATAGCCCTGGTGAAGTGTGGTGGCTCTTCTGTCACCTGCCCTGTGTGGGAGCAGCCAGAGGTGGGGATGGGGCTTTCACTCTGAGGAGGGAGCATTTGGTTTGACTCCTGGATGCCAGAGCAGAGGTGGAAAGGATTGAGGAGCAGGCGGAAGGGCACCTAGAGAGATTTATGAGGTGTTGGGAGGATAGTGAGAGCTGCTGCGGCCACCTGGGCTCCCACCCGCAGAGTCTCAGGTGTCACCTCGGCCTCCGTGGCCCCTCAGACTATGACTGCCCTGCTTTCACATCCCGAGCCTCAGGATTTCTGTGTGGGTGGCAGGTGCTTTCGGAACAGATGCCCTTCCGCCTAGTGTGTGCCCTGCTAGTACAGCAGGGGGCCAGCATGCTTCATGCTCCCTGTGAGGGTGGACTGGCGTGCACACGTCCTTCAGCAGTGTCCTTGGGCCAGGTGTGGGACTGAGTCCTGCAGACACCCAGGGAGGAGGCACCGGGTCAGAAATCTGGGGCAGGTGAGGAACATGGGCATCTGCGTCAGGAGATACTTCCTCTGTAAAATCCCCACCTGGGGCCATCATGGCCTGCATTTTGTATGAATACACTTCTGAAGTTATAAAAGGTCAGTGGGAAAGAAAAGCTTCAGGGTAGCTTTGCTAAAGCTTCAGTTTGATTCTGTGACCGTTTACTGAGTTGTGATGATACCAAGGACACAGGAGGAATGGGACTTCTTTCTTCAAGGACTTGGTCAGTGAGCAGTTCAACACAAGACAGGTGACAAATACTGTGACCAAGGGAAGCACAGAGGCCATGTGAGTCTGGGGCCTGGACCCTGGGAGCACCTAGGAAGCCCTCCTGGAGGAGGTGGCCCTTGAGCTGGTATTGGTCAGGTGTCTTCTGTTTAAAAGTCGTGGGCGGCTGTGTGATTTCCTGTGGCTCCTGTAAGAAAGTCCAACAGACTTGGTTGCTTAAAAGTAGCACAAATTTATTCTTTTCCAGTTAGGGAGGTCAGCAGTCCAAAGTCGGCTCTCCCTGTGGTGGCCCCTGGGGCTCTGGGCTGGCATGGTGTGGGCAGTTGTGGACATTGGAGGAGAGACAGCCTGGGCTCAAGTCTCCCGGGGAAGACTGATGGCTCAGTGTGGGCCATGTGTTCCTCCTTGAACCAATCACTGCAGACCTCTGGCTGGAATTGGGGAGCAGCCCTCCCCACACATGGAGTTGGGTGAGGGTCCTCCATAAAACAAGGGAAGTTGAGCAACAAAAATAGCCCACAGAGAACAAAAAACAACAAACCAGCGTGTGTGCCTGCTGGATTCACACAGGACCGGACTGAGTCTGGTCCTCTGAGGAGTACCTGGCCTACATGCAGCATCTGGGTGCACTGTGGGTGGAGGCAGGACCCTGGGCAGAGGCCCCTCTCAGGCTACCTGGTCATGTCCTCTCGATTCCCACACATGCTGGGAGCGTGCAGAGGGTGAACCATTAGCACAACTCTTCTCAGACTTTTTGGTCTCAGATCCCTTTACCCTTTAAAAGATTATTGAGGACCCCAAAGAATTTTTGTTTATGTGAGTTGTGTCTACCAATGTTTACTGCCATAGAAATTACAACTGAGAAATGTTAAAAATATTAATTTATGTAAAAATAACAAGGCCATGACATGTTAACATAAAAGCATTTTTTACAAAAACCAACTATATTATCCAAAACAAAAAAAAAACAAATTTAGAAGAGTGGGATTCTTTTGCATTTTTGCAAATGTCTTTACAGTCTCCTTAAGAGAGAACAGCTGAAGGCTCCTGTTTGCTTCTGTACTCAGCTTCTGTATTGGCCTGTGTTGCCTTGGTTGAAGTATATGAAGGAAGTCCATCCCGATCTAGTTGGGAGGAATCTCTTAGGTCATTGTGGATATTCTTTGCTGCTGCACTGAAACCCCACGAGCAGGAGTTTCTTAAGGATTTGTTTAAAGCGGAGTCTCCACCATGTGAATGAACTCTTCGTGCTCTGACGTTAAAGTCCTTTGGTCAGTCTTGCACTTTGGGTAGATGTTTTCTTCTTGCAGGATTTTGTACCATTACGCATTGTTCAGAAAATATTGGTTCATGGAGTCATGCAGACCTTCCAGCTATTGACATGTTTAATGGTGTAACCTTAGATGATCACGTTATTTCACTGCCCGTCTCATCAGGGAAGTCTTGAAGAAGTGTGAAGCTGGTAGGCTCAAGGTGGAGGATACAAATGTTTTCAATTCTAATGTTTGCTTGGAAACTCCATTTTTATTACAGTTGTTTTCCCAGAAATGACATGCTCACTTTGTTCACACTTGAGAAGATGTCTGCCAAGTACCCATGTTTTGTCTCTCAGTCATTCTTAGTGACAATGGTGTTGAATAAAAAAAGCGGTGTGTTCAACGTGCAGCCCAGTCACAGCAAGGCTTCCCCCGGGGGTGACTGTTGCCCTTCAGTTTGCACCAGAAATGCTTGTGTATTTTCCATTTTGTCTAACGAAATTAAGAACGTGTCTACTGAAAGGTCAAGATATAATAAGATTAGTAGTTTTCCTGGCTTCACCACTGATGTTCTTACTTGAAGCTGCCTTGCTCTTTTCTGTGAGAGGTTGGGAGGACCTCACTCAACCCAACCAGCCTTGGGTCGAGTGAGGCCCCAGTGGCTTTACTTGCTGCTGCCTCTGCCCCACCGCGCCACCATAGTGAAGGAGATAACACCTGGTGTCAGGAAAATCATTTGACCTTGTAGAGCCCTGACAGGGTCCTGTTAAACCTTGGGTTTGGGGAATGGGCTTAGAGAGCTGCTGTCTTAGAAGGCCAAACCCACTGCTTTTTCTCCTTACTCGCCATTTTAGTATATGGAATTCAACCTCTTCTCGAGGTTCAGATCTTTGGATTCTGTGTCGGCTAGAGAAGATTGAGATCCTGGGCTCGCTGGACGGGATCAGATAACACTCAAAATGGGCCAGGACCCACCAAGAAGCTGGTAACACCTGAAACCTGTCCCCAAATGGCTTTAGCAACAAGAGACTTTGTCCATGTAGCTGAAGTGTCTTGGGGTGACCGGCCCAGGGCTCTAATAATGACATGGGGACGCAGTGGCCCTCACTCCTGCCTTTTCCTCTCTGCTTGTTTTTGTGTGTTTCCTGAGGTGGCCCCGGGCGTTTCAGGCTGACCACCTCTCAGCTCAAGGACTGTATTCCCTCTCTCATGCTCCCTGGGTCCCCTGCAAGACGGTCCTACCCTAGGGCTGTATTTCAGCACCTGCACCTGGTGTCCCTGTGTGGTACCCAACCTTCACAGCTGTACAGAACATCCCTTCGTGTCCCCATCCGGAACCAGCCACGGAGGCCAGGAGAGTCGTGCTCTGAGTCTGGCCCACGGGAGTAGGGGTGGGGCGGAGGGTTCTCTGGAGGTAGATTTTATTTCTCCATTTTATTTTTATTTCTGAAAAGGCAATTTGCGTAGTTCAAAGTTGACAAGGATACCCAGGAAAAATGAATCATCCCATGGCGACCCCAGGCACCTGGTGTATCACCCTCTAGATACAATGTGTTATTGTACAACTTTCATAAATTCTAAACAAATACAACAAATATATACCTACATTTATTTTTCCTTTTTGAAATGCAAATAGTACTTCCCAGGGAAGGCAGCGTGGGTGCCAGCCAGCAACAAAGTCCACTTGTCTAGGGTTTGCAGAGTGTGGGTTTGGGGGATGGAGGTTCCTCTGGGATTTAGTGGGAGGCAGAAGCCCTCAGGATTGCTGTGACCACTGTAGCCCTTACAGCCCTTCTCTTTATTTGAATGTGACTGGCACAGGTCATCCGGGAAGCCCACGGGACCCTCAGGCGGGCAGGATGAACGACTGGCACAGGATCTTCACCCAAAATGTGCTTGTCCCTCCCCACCCACAGAGAGCACGCCAGCCTGTGAAGGAATCCACAGCTTTCCAGTGTGTCCTCAAGTGGCTGGACGGACCGATAATTAGGCAGGTAACAAAACGTGCTGTTAGCAGATACGTGTTGTGATTGCTCTTAGCTGAGATGTGGCTTCCCGTTAACGTACGATGGTCCCTGGCTTTCGATGGTTTGATTTTTGATTTTGCTACTTTATAGTGGTACCCATACCGCCATTCTGTTTCTTACTTTCAGTGCTGTTTTCAGTATATTACATGAGATACCCAACATTTTATTTAAAAATAGGATTTGTGGGCCAGGCGTGGTGGCTCAAGCCTATAATCCCAGCACTTTGGGAGGCCGAGGCAGGCAGATCACAAGGTCAGGAGATCGAGACCATCCTGGCTAACATGGTGAAACCCCGTCTCTACTGAAAATACAAAAAATTAGCTGGGCTTTGTGGCGGGCGCCTGTAGTCCCAGCTACTTGGGAGGCTGAGGCAGGAGAATGGCATGAACCCGGGAGGCGGAGCTTGCAGTGAGTCAAGATGGCGCCACTGCACTCCAGCCTGGGCCACAGAGCGAGACTCTGTCTCAAAAAAAAAAAAAAAAAAAGTATTTGTGTTAGGTGACTTTGCCCAATTGTAGGCACATGCAAGTGTTTTGACCATGTTTAAGCTGGGCCATGCTAATCTCTGATGTTTAGTAGGTTAGTGTATTAAATGCATTTGAACTTAGGATATTTTCAACTTAAACGGGGTTTATCGGGATGGAATCCCATCATAGGTCGAAGAGCATCTGTATTGATTTTCACTTATTCACTTGCGTCTTATACCACCATACCCATTACCTTGGACCTTGGCAGTATTCGGAGGCAAAGTGGCCCATCAGCAAAGAGAATCTGATTCAGTGACATGGTCAGCACTTTTGACACTGGGTAGGGTTTCTTTATGCCCACAGTGGAGCAATTTAAAAACCCAAGTACTCTGGTTTCCTGGGTTATTTCTGAGCCAGGTGGCCTCGTGCATGGCTCAGCATGGCCCGCGTTCAGCCTGGCAGTGAGGACTGCAGGGGCTGAGCTCCGGGCATTCTGGCAGCTCTGTGCGTGGCTGGATGTACCACGGCCTTGGGCACACTCAGACCTGGGCCCTGATGGCGTCACATCCATCTGTGCCCTTCAGCTGGCGGGGAACCTGCTGGATAAGCTGGTGCTTCTGTGCTGCTGCCCATAGGACACCCACACGATTGGATTGTCCTCGTGAGGCCCAATGGCCCATGGGGATGCATGAGAAGGATCAGTCTTGCCATCGTCAACCCTTTTTACAGGATTTGGCTTGGCAAGGCCATTTTCCTCTGCAGCTGGGAGAGTGATATTCACATAGATTCAGTTGTTGGAGCCCCGGGTCTGTGACTGATTTACTGTTATTAAATCACTGATGTTCTGTATCGTTCAATTCCAAGCCCTCGGATTGAGTACCTGCTGTGTCTTTGCCGCTGTGGTAGGTACTGTGGTGGCTGCTGCTTTCACAGCTTTACTTCCAGCACTTCACTGTGTTAATTCACTTAATCCTCAGAGCAGCTCTGTGAAGCTGCCACCACCTTACTCCCATTTTATAGAAGAGCAGCAGAACCTGCTAAGTAAGAGTGGAGCCAGCAGCCCAGGGCGATGTCTTTAGCTGGGATGCCACACTCCTTGTCTGGCTCAGCCGCCTTCCAGGAGCTCACAGGATAGTAGATAGCACTTCCCTCTTTCCTAGGAAGTTTGCAAAGGAAATTTTATTTCCCCATTTCATTTTATTTTTATTTGTGAAAAGGTAATTCACGTATTTCAAAGTTGACAAGGATACACAGGAAAAGTGAATCATCCCATGGCATCCCCAGGCACCTGGTGTATCACCCTAGATACAGTGTGTTTTTGTACAACTTTCATAAATTCTAAGCAAATACAAGTAAATATACCTGCGTTTATTTTTCCTTTTTAAAATGCAAATGGTACTTACTGTATTCCATTCTGTACCTTTCTTTCTTTTTTTTTTGAGATGAGGTCTCGCTCCGTCACCCAGGCTATAGTGCAGTGGTGTGATCTCAGCTCATTGTAAACCTCCTCCCGCTGAACTCAGGTGATTCTCCTTCCTCAGCCTCCCAGGTAGCTGGGACCGCAAATGTGCGCCACCTTACCCGGCTAAGTTTTTGTATTTTTGGTAGAATCAGGGTTTCACCATGTTGGCCAGGCTGGTCTCAAACTCCTGAGCTCAGGTGATCTGCCTGCCTCAGCCTCCCAAAGTGCTGGGATTACAGGTGTAGCCCATGCTCGGCCCTGTACCTTGCTTTTCAAAAAAATTCAGGTGGTATGTCTTATCGATCATTCATGTTATTACATGAAGAAAATTTTCTTGTTATTTCTGAAGACTGCACGGTATTTCTTTGTATGAATGAGCCTTTATTTATTTATTTATTTATTTATTTATTTATAGACAGAATCTTGCTGTGTCGCCCAGGCTGTAGTGCAGTGGTGCGATCTTGGCTCACTGCAAGCTCCGTCTCCCGGGTTCACGCCATTCTTCTGCCTCAGCCTCCTGAGTAGCTGGGACTACCGGTGCCCGCCACCACACCTGGCTAAGTTTTTGTATTTTTAGTAGAGATGGTCTTTCACCGTGTTAGCTAGGATGGTTTCGATCTCCTGACCTCGTGATTTGCCCGCCTCGGCCTCCCAAACTGCTGGGATTACAGGCATGAGCCACTGCGCCCAGCCGAGCCATCATTTATTGAGCGAGGCCCTGATTGATGAACATTTAGACTTTTCCCAGTCATTTGCTGTCACAGACACTGCTACAGTGAATAACCTCATTTTATTTCATGTACAGATAATGTCAGAATGATACCTAGAAGTGGAATTCCTGATCCAAAGTCATATGTTAAAAGTTATTTAAAACCCAATTACATGTTGTTTACAAAAAAGTGCACTTTAAGCGTAAAGACATAAACAGGTTGCAAGTAGAAGGGTGGAAAAATATAAACCATGTACATACTAAGCAAAGAAAGCTTTGCGTCTGTGCTAGTAGCATAAAAAGTAGATTTCAAGGTGAAGAGTATTCCCAGAAATAAAGGGGCACTTCATAAAGACAGTGATCTTCAAGGAAACATAACAATCCCTAAATGTGCATGCATTTGTGTTAGGGGCTGCCAAGACCACCTCCCAGGTTTGAAGAGTCTCTAAGAGGACTCACATGACTCAGCATGTAGTTGTACTCTCAGCTAAGGTTTATGGCAGCAGAAGGATACAGAGCAAGACCAGCAAAGGGAGGAGGCATATGGGGGATGTCTGAGGGAAGAGGGTACAAACTTCCAAGAGTCCTCTCACATAGGATGCGTTTGATTCCTCCAGCAATGAATCGTAACAACACACGTGAAATGTTGTGTAACGTCCAAAATTCCAGACTCTCAGAAGGGAAACACGTGTTTAGCATAAGCCACAGTACATAAACGGATTAGGCACAGTGAGCCCCTCTTACCAGTTACGTGGTAGGAACTCTCCTGAAATCTGAGTTCCCAGACTCCAGCAAAAGGCCAGACTTCTAAGTTGGTCTTTCAGAGCGTAACGGTCAGGTCTGCTCTGATAACTCTTTTGTACAAAAGAGCAAAATTGGACGGAACTAAAGGGAACTATATTCAGATTCATAATCTTGGTTGGAGACTTTTAACTCTTCTCTCAATTATTGAAGAAACAAATAGATCAAAAAACTCCTAAGGATTTGGAAGCTCTGACGAATACTGTCAATCACCTTGTTCTCTTAAACGCTACTCCCAAGAAAGCTAGAGTACACGTTCTTCCCAAGTATACCGTCAATCACCTTGTCATCTCTTAAACACCACTCCCAACAAAGCTGGAGTACACGTTCTTCCCAAGTTTATATGGAACAGTCATCAAGATAGACCCTCTGCTGGGCCATTAAAATGTCTCAATAAATTTCAAAGGACCCAAATTATAGAGTATGTTTATTGACTACTGTGCTTTTAAGTTATAAATAAATAATATGAGATCTAGAAAATACTCAAATAGTAGGAAATTAACATACCGGATGAAAGAACAATTAATAGGGAAATTAGAAAATAATTTGAACTGAATAATGGAAGAAAATATACAGATGTGTAGGATATAGCTAATACAGTTCTTTGAGGGAAACGTATAGCTTTACATGACTATATTAGAAAAGAAGAAGGTATAAAATCAGTGACCTCTGCTTCCTCCTTAACAACCTAAATAAAGGAACAAATTACATACAAAGTAACTAGAAGAAAGGAAATGGTAAATCCAGTTGTGCATGGTTGCTTGACAATGGGGATACATTCTGAGAAATGGCGTTGTTAGGCGATTTTGTCCTTCATTGTGCAAACGTCATAGGATGTACTTACACAAACCTAGATGGTGAAGCCTGCCTCACACCCAGGCTCCATGGCATAGCCTAGTGCTTCTAGGCTACAAACCTGTATGCACATTACTGAATACTGTTGGCAATTGTAACACAACGGTATATCAAACATGGAAAAAACCGTAAAAATATAGCATTACAACCTTAAGGGGCCAGTCATACATACAATCTGTTGCTGATCGAAATGTCATTATGTTACCCATGATCGTATATGAGCAGAAATTAATAAAGGACAAGTAATGGAGAAAATCAGCCAAGCTAGAAGTTGTTTCTCTGAAAAGATTGATAAAATTGATCAAGACAAAAAAAAAAAGAAAAACACAGGCTACCAGTATTAAAATGAAAGAAGCATCATGATAACATATGCTATAGAGGTTAAAAATATAATGTTGAATTTTATCAGATACTAAAGGAAGAAGTAAGACGAATTCTAGACAAACTTGGAAAACAGAGGAGGAGGGAATACTTCCCGGCTCATTTTTTGAGGCCACCATAATTCTGGTACCCAGTCAAGGGCACTACAAAAAAGTACAGGCTGGTATCCCTCATGAATGTTAACGCAGCAGCCCTGAAACTATTAGGACAACAAAGCCAGCAGTATGTATAAATGGTGGGGTATTAGGATCAAGTGGGGCTTATTGCAGGAATGCAATGTTGGTTTTATATACAAAGATCAATCAAAATGCAGTGTTTAAAAGACGATAAATAGAATTTATATAAATTCTATAAATAGAGTTTGGAAATAGATGATACAAAGGTTTGGTGTAGATAGTCTTATAAGTTTGTATAATTTTAGTTGTTTTGAGAATTAATAGCTTTAGATAATGGTCAAAGCTTTCTTCCCTGTGAAAGGTGTTGGCTGAAGAATATTACATGCTTGTTTTGAATTCAGGGCACTTTGTTAATGGTTTTAGTATATTTCTCATACTGTCCCATTTACTTTTTTTGTTTAGTTTAATTTTACCATGATCATTGATTACATTTCTTTATTTTGGGGTAGGTATTTCAGTGCAGTTTGATATTCGTTGGGCACCACGACGTTTGGAGCTGTGCAGATGACAGGGTTGACTCTGTCCTTTACTGTGCCTTCAGGAGCTCTCAGTGGATTCTTGCTTGAACAGGCTGGGTGTGAGTAGCGTAGAGGTGGCGTTCTGGAAAGAAGTCCCAGCCAGCAACGGTTCTGGGAGCCACGGGATCCTGCCTGAGGATGGCCTCCTGAGAGTGCAGGAGAGGAGGAGGCGGCAGCGCTGGGGGAACCCGGGCAGTCCCGCGTGAGGAGGGGCACGTGCAGAAGCTTTGCCTAGACCCCAGGGACAGAGCAGGGAACACACTTATTCGAGACCCACGTCCTCACAGAGCTCACATTCTAGATGGGGCGGCAGACAGTCAACATGGAAAAGCCAGGGGATTGCTCTGGGGAGAGATGAGGCAGGCTCAGAGGGTGGGTCTGAATGCGGGAGGAGCTGAGGAGGAAGAGGGACAGGGAGGCAGCGTGGTGATGGGAGCTGGGTCCAGGCCCCGGCAGCATGGTGATGGGAGCCGGGCTTGGAGTCTTCAGACCTGCTCTGTTTGCCTTCCCCGTCCCCATGGATAACACCACCTCCCTCCAGGTTGCTTTACTTGAGACGTGGGACCAGTGCTGGACCTAGGAGGGCTGGGCCAGCCTAGACAGGTGGCCCTTCCTGCTTCTGTCCCTTCATGACCACGCAGCCGCTCCTGCGAAGCAGCAGAGCCCAGGTGTGCCTGCTTCCTGTCACCCTCCCTGCCCCTCCCTCTCTCGCCTGGTTGGTGGCAGCAGCCTCCTAATGGGCCCCTGCTTCCACTCCCGCCCCCACGTGGCAGCTGCGGGAATCTTCATTCCGAATCAGATTGTGTCATTTCTGCTTAGAATCTCTCCCTGGCCTCTGCATGATTGGAGTGAAAGCCCTGCTTCTCCTCGCACTGGGAGGCCGCCTGAACGCTCCTCTGCCTGGCGCTCATTCCTTCTCTCCTCCCCGGCCCAGCCTGCTGCAGTCTGGTGGGCTTTCTGCTTAGAACGTAGCTAGGATTGGTTTCCATTCAGGGGTGGTGAGGCCAGCGGATCAGGAGACGACTGCAGCTGAGACTCTGTGTGTTACTCAGGGCTCCCAGGACACGGGGCAGGCCATGCCCACAGGCCACCTGGGGAGGCGCAGGTTGCTCAGGAGGCAGGAGGGTTACGGTTTTGTGGGAGGACTGGACTAGGGAGGGTGAGCAGCTGGACAGGCTTGGTGTTGGCCACGGAGAGTCATGTCATGGTCTCTGAGGTGCAGGGATGGCCTGACGTATCTGCTCACTGACCCTGAGAGAACCGGGCAGAGGGAGGGACTCCTGGGGTGTGTGAGCCAGGTGGAGGGAGTGGGACGTGTGGGCTCTGGACAGGTTGGTTTTCACGTCAGACACGTTCTGACAGGCCTGCCATTTGCCACCCTAGGAATTAACTGGCTCTGGGGGACAGTCTGTCTCGTCACTGAGGCCCCAGATACCAGAGCATCAGTAATACAGAAAACTAGAAAATACAGGCTGGGCACGGTGGCTCACCCCTGTAATCCCAGCACTTTGGGAGGCCGAGGCGGGCGGATCACTGAGGACAGGAGATCGAGACCAGCCTGGCAAAACCCCCTCTCTACAAAAAGTACAAAAATTAGCTGGGTGTGGTGGAGTGCACCTGTGGTCCCAGGTCCCAGCTACTTGACAGGATGAGGCAGGAGGACTGCTTGAGCCTGGGAGGTGGAGCCTGCAGTGGCCAGACCTCCAGTCTGGGTGACAGATGAGACCCTTTTCTTAAAAAAAAAACAAACAAAAAACAGGTACTAAACAGCTAAATATAGTTCCTGCACTTCTCACTGGCTCCTGGAGCACCTGTGCTCTCTTCCGCTCAGGACTTTTGAGTTTGCTCCTCCTCCTGCCTGGCTCCCTCTCCCCAAACCCCCTGTGGTTCTTCTCATGCCCTCCTTGTTCTCAGCTCAAGGGTCATGTCAGAGAGCCTGCCCTGCCCCGCCCACCTCTCTCCCCGTTCTTCACCCTGTAAGCCCTGTAAGGGCAGAGATTTTGTCTGTTTTGTTCCTTGTTGTTTCCCTAGTTCCTGGAAATGTGACTGGCAGAGTCAATGCGCAGAGTAGATGTTTAAGTAACGTTTGCTAAGTGAATGGGTGAAAGAAAGGTGGAGGACTCTCTGTCTCAGGTAAGACCCTGTCACAGAAGAGCAAAGGCTAAAGCAACACTTGCTGTAAGTGGTAAAGCTCTGGGCAGGGTCCTGCCTGTCTACACTCTGGCTGCTGTGTTTTGTATTTGCAGCCATGATCTCTCAGTTCTCAAAGATCTGCTTTTTGCTTTGCCAACATCACCCCAAAATCTGGGAAGTTGAGGATTTAGAGTTTCTGGTTATATCAGGAAGGGCTCATTTGGTTGGAAATGATTAAAAAACCCATCCAAAATGATTTAAATGAGAGGTGATTTGTTAACTCACACAACAAATCCACAGCCAGCATAAGCTTCAGGTGTGACTTGAGCCAGGTCTCAGGTGATGTCACCTGGACTTGTTCTCGCTCACCTCTTGGCTGCCGGCAGCCCCGGGCCTCATCCTGGCAGGCGCGTGTCTCCTGTGGTCATGTCCTCTTGTGCGTGCTGGGCTCTGGCTGAGTCAGAAGCCTGTGTCTGTTCCAAGGGACTGCAGTCTCTCGTTGGCCAGGGGAGGGCCAAGTGCTTTGGTTTATAACCCCTCCAAGACCAGTGGCTGTGGGAGACAGGTAGTCCCCCGATAAGGAAACCAGGGTGCTCATACCTAAGCGAGTGGCCCCATGTGCACCCACGTGGCCTGCCAGTGACCGCCTGGCTCCTGGTGCTGAGCCTCTTGAGGGCCGATTCCCCGTTGTCTCCTAGGGAGTGCTGGAGGCGCTGTCAGAGGTTGAATGCCATCTGCGAGTGTCTTTCTTTGATGTCACCTACCGGCACTTCTTCGGGAGGACGTGGAAAACCACAGTGAAGCCGACGAAGAGACCGCCGTCCAGGATCGTCTTTAATGAGGTGGGCCCTGGTGACGGAGGCAGGGGCTGCTCCAAGGCGGAGGGTGGGTGTGCGGGGGGTCCTGGGTGGCAGCCCAGAGAGTGGGGCCTTGCCGAGACCTCACAGGGTGTCTCAGACTTGTGGGTCCCAGCAGCGTAGAGCTCAGTCTGGGCACTTTGTTTCCAAACAAAATCTTATGTGGAAGCCAGTTTTCTTAAACAGACGAGAGAGCTCTGCTCTGGTTGAAGAGTCGGGGGCATGGGGGTCTTGTCTCAAGGAACCTTGGAGTTCTTGGGAATATTGGGAAATGGTTGACCTCATCTGTGGCCGCTGCCACTACTGCTCCCTCCTCTCCCCGCCCCCGCTTCCGACCCTTCCCCCTTCCCCTCCTCCCTCCCCACACCCCTCCCC